TCCCTCTCCTCTCCTCTTCCACCCTGTCACTAACACAGCCGCGACCCCGGTATTCTTAGCCATTGCCTCGTTTATTACAATCTTCCCCGTAAAGGTGCAGCCGAGGGGATGTCTTTCTTATTGTCCTCTCTACTGTGTTTCGTGTCTTGAGACAGCATCTCGCTGTGTGGCCCAGAGTGAACCAACCACCAAGCTGCCTCCAGAGCACTGGGATGACAGGCATGTGCCACCAGGCCTGGCTTCCCATCCTGTCTCGTTCATGGATACCCTAGTGTAGCTCAAGGACTGAGGGAAACTTCCCAAAGGACTAGGAGGCCTAGCTGTGCGGGCACTGAGGAACAAGCCAAGGGGCCAATGGTGTGGCGGCCAGCAGGGCACTTGCTCAGCGTATGCGAGCCTGGATTTTACACTGGGCCTCACGGACAACAATGCGGCAGAGAGGTTCTGGCCCATCACTGTCTAATGAGGCCAGTTCCTTTCTCCCCAGAGGTTCTGCCTTCTGGGAGGGAAGGCTTTAATTGCGGAAGAGCTCCGGGCTCCTCCCTCCTCTAGAAACCCTGCCCAAGTAGCGTGGCCAGCCCGGCATCTTGAGCAGGGGAATGAAGTGGGCTTTCGGCTTAGACGCTGTGAGATTGTTTAAAAACCTCCCCGGTAATTGGCAACTGTCTAATCACTTGCTATAATTAGGAGAGCCTGGAGGCTCAGGGCTTGGTTCCGAAGGTTTAGGAATCAGGGAGCTGAGGAGAGAGCGGGCTGGAAGCGGCTGATTCCAAGGAGGAGTTGAACTCCAAGTCCCCCGGGGAACATGTCCCTTCAAAGCATGTTTGTGTTCCCCAAAAGGTGCCCTTTCATTATTAATAGCCACTTTTTTTTCCTGGTAAATTGTGTTTTATTTAAAACAAACGTACAATTCCCACTGCAGAGCCAGTGAGCCCTCATGAGCCGACCAGTCCCAAAGCTCCCTTGTACCTGTCCCAGCACGGTTCCCTTCCCAAGGGCAGCCTCTGTCCAGCGTTTGAACATGGCAGACGGGGCTGGGAAGAAAGCTCTGATGGTAAGGGGTTTGCCACGCAAGCATGAGGGCCTCAGATTGGTCCCCGACATCCTTACAAACCCAGAAGTGGCGGGCACACTTGTAGATCCAGGCCTCCGGAGGCAGAGGGTCAGCCAGCCCAACCTAATCCCCAAGCCTCTCATGGTGAGAGCCCCTGATTCAAAAACCAAGGTGGATATCTCCCGGGGAATAACACTGGAGGATGACCTTTGGCCCTCGACATGTGTGAGCATGTGCACACACTCTCTCTCTCTCTCTCTCTCACACACACACACACATACATTACAACACCCACCTCACATATATATGCACACATGTATAAACACACAACACACATATTACCTCCAATATATGCATACACACATATACACACGTGGACACAGAGAGACAACTGTTTGGGCCTTTGTTCTGGATTCTCACACTCAAAGGCACACATAGCCTGACAGTTTCCATAAGGGCTGGGATGCTGGAGGCCCAGCAGTTGCGCAGGCTTTTCCTTGGGGTTGCTGGCTAATGTTTGCCAGGCCCAGATGCAGGCCCAGTGCTGGCAGGTAATTTGATCTTGTAAGAGGAGCCGAGGCCTGTATTTTTATGGCAAATCTTAGATCCTTAAATGTGGCCAGTGAGGAAACGTCGGCATGCTGTGGTGCCAGCTTCATCCTAGCCAAACCAAACATGTGTTTTGGCCAGATTTGGACTTGCCAGTTGCTAGCATGAGGGATCTGGAGGACCCCGGGCCCACCGGGGAAATGGGTCTGAAGAGAAACATCGCCATTTAGAGTAAGTCGCTATCACCGGGCCTCAGAGAGGGACAGACAGCCAGTTGCCAGGGCAGCAGGAGCGGAGGTTGACAGCATCCTGAAGGACATGTGGGATGAGATGGCAAGGCCATTCCAGGCAGTGGGAACAGCTTGATGGATGTGCAGAGTCAGGGACCACAAAGGAGTTTGGTGTTGTCATGGCAGTGGAGGTGTTTTCAGGGCGAGCTGCGGTGAGATGGGGCTCGTCCCTCTGGCAGCGGGTGTGGGCAGCTCAGGTGAGGGCTGGGGACAGAAGGCTGTTGGCAGGCCTTGGCTATGGCACTAGGATGACGTGAGTACCAAGCCCTTGGGTGCAAATTCCTAGCTCCTTAAGCCCAAGCCCAACCTCTGTCTGTTGCCAAGGTCAGGGTAGCTATGATTGTTGTCTTTTCCCTTTTGGGGAAGACGAGTTTCACTATGTGGCCCAGGCTTCCCTGGACCTCACAATCCTCCTGCCTCAGTTTCTGGGGTTACAGGGTGCAGCTTTGCTATTATCTGGTATGAAAATATCTGTCGTATCCAAGACACTTGCTGATGCATCGAGAGGCATTTCGGCCGCCTGCAGCTCTGGTGGAAGACTCAGCGAGCACAAGTTAAGTCCCCATTTGAATTTTTCTCTGTGAACCCCTGACCTTGCAGATGTGCCTGACAAACGCCCTTCTGTCCTGTACTCCACCCTTCCTTGAACAGATCTTCCTGGGCCTGCCTTTCAAACCACCCCAGAAGGGACTGGCTATAGCCCAGTGGAACACCCAAGCAGGCACATGAAACAAACCAATACAATAGCCCAGAGCTTCCCTGGCCTTTGCACTACCCTTTCTGGGCCCCTGGTATCACTTACTACCCCCAGCCCATCTGCCCTCCTCCCTTTGTTCGCTTCACAGCTGGCACGATCCTCTCCTGATTGTTAGATTCTGCCCAGACCCCTGCAGATCCCTACCTGACTCAGAGAGTGCCCTCACAGACCTTTGCGACCTGTCTCCCTCTCCTGTTCTCTTCCTGTCCCTTAGGCAGGGTCCCTCCTCCCGCCCCAGGGCAGCCCCTGCCTCAGGCTTCTGCGCTGGTCATTGGTTCCCCCTCTAGGAACTTTTCTTTTCCTGGTAGATTGCCTCCTGGTGCCTCCTTCACCTCCTTCTAGGCTTTGCTCCAATGCAGCTTCCTCCAAGCCCCACCTCCGCCTACCCCTCCTTGCCCTTCACCCTTGCGCAGTCTGCATTGGGCTTATTAACGTCACTCATGTTCTCTCTTTCTTCCCCAAGCCGAGCACACAGCGGCTGCTCCGTGAGCGAGAGGTTGGGTGCCTTAGGCAGGGCAGCACAGTGGTCTGTGCTTGCCCTGGGTGTCACTTAAGAGACTTTCCCCTCTGGGGTCCCCTTGCTTCGAATCCCCTAGGACGGGGTTCCCAGCTTGAAAGGAACATGTCCTGCCACACTGAATCTCAAGGCCAAAGAAGTGTCACGTCAGTGCCCAGCCCAGGGCTGGATTTACGTGTGGACAGGATCAGACAGCACATGCCTCATGCCTGTTGAGGGCAGCAGATTCATAGTGTCCGTTTCTGCCCATTCACCGACACTGGAATGCGCCGTTGCAACCCAGAACTTCTCCCTTTCCAAATAGTTGGAAACTCCTTGCTCGGGGCCAGAAAGGGGGCTCTGATAAGCGAGTGAAGGGCTCCCCTGGCCATCCTCACACCAGGTCCTACCAGAGATACGGCCCACAATGCTTCAGTCTCTCCTGCCCCCGGGGCAGAGTGGCAGCGGCTGGCAGCGAGTGGGGCTCACCCACAGGAGTAAGGCAATTCGTAATCTGTTAACCTTGAATTCTGCAAAGCCTGCCACTCGGGCGAGCTGGGGGTGGCTGGAGTCACTCTTGGCTTGGTCAGAATTCAAATTAGCTCCTGCAATCAATGTGCAATTAATGGTTGCACAGCCTGGGCATCCAGGCACTGGGCCCCATGCAGTGGGAAGAGGGAAGGGTGCAGCTTATCATCCAGGGAGCAGAGGTGGGGATGGGGGAGATCACGGATGAGCCATCCTCGTTTTCGAAAGATGCTAAAAAGGTCTGAGTTTCGGCAACCCCTCGGCCCGGATATTCCTAACCTGGTCAGCACTTACTGAGCTCCTACTGTATGCCGGATGCCCTTCCCACCTCTGTCTCTGTCTCTGGGGGCACATCCTTCCCTTTTTTTATAGATACAGAAAATGAGGGTCAGAGAGAGCAAGGGTCTTATTCAGAGTCACACAGCTGGTCAAGTCCTGGGTTTACCTAACTTGAAGTCAGGATGCGTGACCGTCCCTGCCTCGCCAGCCTTATTCAGCACTCAGCCCTCGCAGGACCTGCGGGACAGCCAGCCCTTCTTGGTGACCACAACTTGCTGTCCTTTTCCTGTGGCCTCTTGGGTCATGTTTGTTCTGGATCTCTGGTGTGGACAGCCCGGCTTGGGGAAGCTCTGTCTGTCATACCCTATGCTGGGCCCCTCGGGCAGGCCGCCGCTGGGCAAGCTTTCTGCCCTCCTCGGTGGTGACAGGGAGCCTGCCAAGGGGGCTGGGGCTCAGACGCCAAAGGCGATGGGGACAAGCCCGTCAAAGGCCGTGGCTCAGCATCCCCGGCCCTTCCTAAGCTCCAGGTGGGTCGTGCAGCCTTTGCGGAGGCTCTCCGTGGCCTGAAGCCACTGCCCTCTGCATCCCCGTGGGGACCCGCAAGGAGCTGCCTCGTCGCCCAGCTGGCAGGGCTCCGGGTCTGGGGTGAGAAGTCCTCTCCCGCCTCCCGCGGTCGCCTCAGCCCCGTGGGCTCCCCCGGGGAGCGCCCTGCCTGAGATCCCCCACTTGTCCCTCTGCGCTCCCGCGCGCCCCTGTCCCCCGCCCGCGCCCAGCGTGGCGCGCCCCATCCCCGCGCGCGGGCGGGCGGGCGGGCGGGCGCCGAACAGTGTCGCCGGCCGCCTGCAGGTGTCTCCCCACGGAGGGGCGCGCATCCCTGCGCCGCGGCCGCTGCCAGGAGCCGGCGGCGGCTGCTCGCCGAGGCGCACTCGCGCTCCGGGCTCCGGGCGCGCCGGTCCGCTCCACTCCGCGGCCCCGTCCTCCCCGCGGCTCCGTCCTCCCGCCGGGGGTGGGGAGGCATGGACCAGCGTCCCCAGCGTCCCCGCCGACCGCAGGCCCCCGAGCCCCGGGGCGGGCGCTGACGCGGGCGGGCGCCGCTGCCAACTTCGCGCGGAGCTGCGGGGCGGCGCGGGCGGCATGAAGACGAGCCGCCGCGGCCGAGCGCTCCTGGCCGTGGCCTTGAACCTGCTGGCGCTGCTCTTCGCCACCACCGCCTTCCTCACCACGTACTGGTGCCAGGGCACGCAGCGGGTGCCCAAGCCGGGCTGCGGCCAGGGCGGCGGAGCCAACTGCCCCAACTCGGGCGCCAACGCCACGGCCAACGGCACCGCCGCCCCCGCCGCCGCCGCCGCCGCCGCCGCGAGCCCGGCCGGCGCGCCCTACAGCTGGGAGGCGGGCGACGAGCGATTCCAGCTGCGCCGCTTCCACACTGGCATCTGGTACTCGTGCGAGGAACAGCTCGGTGGCCCGGGTGAGTGCTGGCGCGAGGCTCCCCGGGGACGCGCGCCCACAGGTCCCGGGCCGGGAGGTGACGCGTCCGGGTCCTCCCCCCACCTCCATCCCCCTGGCCTTCCCCCCGCGCGCACCCTGGCAGTGGGATCCGGGGCGTGTGGTCCCTCTTCGGCCTCAAGTCATCTCCCTGCGCGCCCGTCCTTGCCCCCACCCGTCCGTCTAGGCTCTGGAGGTGACAGTGGGGACCCGGGGACCTTTGCTGCGGGCGACCCCTCCCACCGCAGATCTCTGGGGCCGGGAACCCAAGGGTTCTGCCGCGCGCATCTCCAAGCCGCGCTGAACCTTCTAGGACAGGCTGGGGAAAGCAGTGAGTAGGGAGAGCTTCCTGAGCACCCCTAGTGCCCCGAGCCAGGGTACCCTGGAGCCCTCCAGGGAGTGGTGCTGTGTGAGGGAAGGGACTCAGGCGGGGAAAAGAGGGGCAGCTCTGGGCGCTGAGGCTGGGGGAGGAGGTCTTGGCTTAGCCCAAGGCTCCTTCAGAACTGGGGAGGGGGGCTGGCTTCTCAGAAAGTAGAGTGAACCCCTCTGCCCCCCGACCCAGGCAGCCAGGGCTGACAGCAAGGCTGGGACGCTCAGGGGACTTCCGCCTGGCAGGGATCCGTGCCCTGTGGTGGGTAGTACTGGCTGTGGACTCTACCCACAGCTTCTCCGCAGTGGGCCGCCGTTCTGGCAGGACCCCTTTGGAAGCACGGTAGCCCCATCTTGCCTCCCACCCAGCGTAGCCTGAGATCTCCCAGACCTATCTTTAGTCGCTAACATACTGTCCCCCTTTCCCTTAAGATGTCACTCTTGCGAGGTCTTCGCTGGGTGTCCTCCCGCTTCTGGGTATTGCCAACAAGTATTTGCAGCGTGATATGCGAGACAGAGGTTTTGAGTGGGGTCTCAGGCTGAAGGGGCCCGAAGGGAGGTACCCTGTGTTGCTTGCCGCGGGGGGGGGATTAAGGGTGGTGGGGGTGGGTAACCCAACTTTGCTGTGACTTTGAGCATGTTGGCTGTTGGCCAACGCACACGATATTTGAACAGGACTTGAGATTTCATTGTGACCTGTGGTTCAAAAGAAAAAAAAAAAAAAAAGAAAAAAAGAAAAAGAAAAGAAGAAGGAGAAAATCAGAAATTAACCTGAAAGCCCCTTTGCTAAAACTTCTTGCTTCCAAAAGCCGATTAGGCGTTTGTGCCCTCCTGGCACAGGTCTCCACAGACCTTCAGACATAACAGCGTGAAGAACGAGAATGGATGGCCGTGGGTCCTCCTCCCACAGCCGGCTGCCGGTCCTGAGATCTGGGCGGCCCTGTCCTGGAGACATGCCACCTTGCAATGCCTGGATGGAGCCTGTCCCCGGCAGTCCGAGCCAAGCTGCCCCTGCCTCTGTAGTGTGTCTGGGCCCTCACGTCATGGTCTGGTGGCTCTCCTGAAGGCTCCCTGAAGGCTGCTGCTGAAAGCTTCGCAGCTCATCCCTTACTCCGTGCTTGACGGCCAAGCTTGACCACTGTGCTTTAAGGAATTGTGAACAGAAACGCGTTTAAAGCAGGGCTAGCTGGCTCCTGCACATTTTGAGCAGCAGGCCTTGCTAAAGTTGTCACCTGTGGAATCTTGTGATGGGCTAGCCTCTGGGCCGGACAGCCACTTGTGGAAGCTCCATTTTTCAGATGAGGCTCAGGGGCGTTTTTGACGAGGGAGCTTGAATTGTCTTCCTGGTGGCTGGAGAATAACCGGAGAAGTGGTGGAGAGTGGGAGCAGTGTGGCTGGAGGACCTGAGACAGGAGGGCTTACGGCAGACATGAGACCCTCATCCCTGGCCCCATTAGTCAAAACGTCCCTGGGGGGAGAATCTGGGTGGATAAAGACCAAGCGCTGAGGTTTTCCTTGTTTTTAATCGGCTACAGCTTGCTCCTCCCAGAAAATCGCAATTGTCTTTGCCTGAGCTTGTGGCAAATAGTTGAAGGTGAGAAATTTGGGAGGTCTAAGGCCATTCAGATAGGTCTCCCCAACGGCTGTGCACAGCCCCCAGATCTCGCCTTCATCACTGAGCTCCAAAGGGTGTCAGGAAGTACCTGGCCTCAAACTTTTGTTGCTATGACAACCTGTCTTCTGGGTGCGATGATGATTTTATTTTTTTACTCCAAGAGGGGGAAAAAAACCCATCCCAACAAGGCCTGAGAAGGCTCTGCCCTCTTCTCCCTTGCTGCTGTGGCAGCTGGGGAAGGCTTAGCTCCCCATCCATGCAGCTGGGTGCATCCTGGTGGGGGCTTCAGCTTGGGGAGCCATGTGGCCCCCTTGCTCTCCAGCACTGCTGCTCTCGTCTCTACCCCTGGACCCCCTTTCCCACAGATGACACCCCAGCATATCCTGAACAGACACATAGCCGCCAGCCCCACCCTAGAGAGCCCTTTCCTCCTCCCAGCAAGAGGAGACACGGGCATCCTTGTGCATAGTCAGGGGACAACAGCCCCGAACAGTCTCCGGTCCCCTCCTGCAAATCAAATTTCTTACTGGGCTTGATGTTTAGAAAAATTGGGAGGGCTGTGGGGAAGGGAGGCAAGGTTCAGGCCTGGAGTGGGGGACAAGGAGGGTCTTGGGGTGCAAAGTGATAGGGTCGAGCTTTTGCTGACTGTTGCTCATGCGCCTTTGTGTGTGTGATGGAAGGATAGGAGTGTCTCAGGAAGCCCAAGGTCACAGTATTGGGGACCTGCGAGGCTGGCTGAATGGCACTGGAGAGAAAAGAGTAGGCCCCGGTGGGTAGGAGGCATAATCTGAGTGGCACATGAGCTAGCAGGCAGCCCCAAAGTGGAAGCAGAGACCCTGCTTCATAGTCTGACTCTAGACTCACTCTGCCCTGTGTGCAATGATGGATGGATGTAGCTTCCTCTTGTTACCACGTGACTCTGGCCAGAGCCTCTGCTTGTTGCCCTGCAGATGGGGAGGAAAACGGCCCAACCCACCCCGGGTGCCGGGGTCCAGTGACGGCATGGGGACTGAGCAGTTCATGCTGCAGCCTCGCTTCTGTTACTCTGGCCCGAGCCACTGTATCTAGCCCAAGATGTCACTCCTCCCTCCGATCCTTCCCATCGTCCCCCAGAGTCCAGAGTCACCAAGGCCCCGCATCTCAGAATGCCTCTCTTGCTGCCGCTGGATCTCTACACTGTAGCCAAGCTGACTTTTCACACAGGAGGCTCCCTGTGGCTTCAGGGCTGTTCCCTTACCTGGAGCTTGCCTGCTAGATCCACCCAAGACCGTTTCCCACGATTTCAGTCTGCCAGGGCACCCCCAACCACCTGACGGGAATTGCCTTTACCTTGCCTCCTGCACACGCTTCTTTCTAATTCTGACCCTCGGCTTAGTCAACAACCCTTGTTCACTGGGTGCCCCGTGAACTTGGGGTTGATGCTTAATGTTTTAAGCTGTGTTTATTTTTATTTTATGTATGTGATGTTTTGTCTGTCCGTGTGTCTGTGCACCATGGGAGCGTCTGCTGCCTACTGAGGCCATAAGCATGTGCCGGGTCTCCTAGAACTGGGATCACAGACGGTTGTGAGCCACCGTGTGAGTGCTGAGACTTGAACCCACGTCTTTGGGAAGAACAGCCTGTGCTCTTAACCACTGAGCCACCTCCCCAGCCCCTGGAGTTGACTCTTATCCATGTGGTCTGTCGCCTTCTATGACTCTTTGGGGATGGCGGCGCGCAGTAGGCCCTCTGTGGAATATGTGTAAGTTGGTGTCACCGGCTCTTGGGATCCCGTTCTTTCAGGCTCAAGTTGCTTTTGGCAGGGGTGGCCACACTTCCCAGTGCAGGGCTACCGCACACGCCCTTTCTGGGGGAGGCGTGAGTCAGGATCCTTGTGACGCCCCCCGCTTCGTGGTTGCTAGTGCCCAGGAGTGTGTGGGTGCCGTGCTAGACAGGCTTCTCGCTGGGAGCGCGTGAGAGGCAGATTTGTGCTTTCCGTGGCCCTCTGCAAGCGTCGCCTCCTCTCGTCAGCGGCAGGCGCTGTGGCCGCTCCCCCAGCTGAGGCATGAGAGGCACAATATGACTTGCCCAAGGTCACGTATCTAGCAAGTGGCCAAGCTGGGACGTGAACAAAAGGAGGAGGTCCAGCGTGTCCCCCACCCCCATTGCATGCCTTGAACCCCCAGCCCCAATTCAGTCAGCCTCCCCGGGCTTCTCCACCTGGCCTCACTGGGGAGACCACTATTCTGGGAGTCACGAGCCCCAGGTTTGAGCCCAGACTCCGCTGGCAGCTTGCTAAGCGGCTCTGGAAGTCACACCCTCTCCCTGGGTCTCTTGTCTGTCTTTGCTTGGATAGAAAACATTTGGCTTTGGTTTCCGCACGTGATACATGGGGCAGAGCACGGTTCTCAAGGCCACAGGTTTTAGGGTCAGAGTCTTGCTTGGTTCTAGCCCCCAAGGTTACACAGAGAAACCACTGTGTGTCCTCTGGTGGGGGTGGTTCTCTTCTCTGAGACTCAGTTTCCTCAGCTAAGGCAGGAGGACCACCCTTGGCCATGTGATAGAATCACCAGGTTTAACCAGTGGTGTGGATAAGCATACTTTCTGTGGTCCAACCTGGTGTCAATGATACAGGTAAACATGCTTTCTGTGGTCTAATCTGGTGCCACCGGCCAGCAGCAAGGCGCATGTCCAACTCTGGTATCCCCTGGTGTCATTTATTAAGCTTCCAACACCTGGAAATGGAGACAGTCCACAGAACCACCTGGACCCGGGAACAGTTCAGCATCCACTGGGCCAGGGTCCTATTGGGGTGTCCAGGGTTTACCCTACCCAGCCTTCCACCACTCTACATGACAGTTCTTCAAGAGCTCGAGCCCCTGACCCTGAAGCACCACAGAACACCCCTTCCCATCACATCTCACGCCGGAGCCTCTGGAGTCCTTCCCACTCTTGCATGGCCAGCCCAGCCTGACCTCATCCTGTGACCCTGGCTGAGCATCTCTTGGGTCCAACTGCAT